TGCTCTAGGAAGCAAGCCTTAGCTTATTGGTATACAAATATATTCCTCTACATACATTTGTGTTCATTATTTTTCTATCTGATCATTTGTATCATCTTTGGTTAGTTTACTGCGCTGTATACCCCACAAAGTCATAAGGTTAGAATGGCTAACAGAATATAATAAATAAATAAATAAGCCAAAAGTTCTGGTTTCAGATAAATATCCTTAGTAGCTTAGGAACTGCTTCTATAAGTTATAAATTACATTTGCATGGCAACAACTATTTTCTTGCAACAAATTAATTGAGACAAAGATATTAAGTCCTCAACGTTTTTTTTGTATTTCTGCATTTAAAATTTATAATTGCATCATACAAATAATTCAGTCTAAGCCTTTGAGAATTATTCCACGTTCCTCACAAATTTGCAAAGGCATTCTTTGCAAGAGCTTGGCTGTGCCTTACAGAGGCCTTGTATGAGACTGTCGTTTGAAATAGCAGCTGAAACAAATATTTACCAGATATAACCTTTTTAAGTTAAATTAAAAACGAACTTCATGTCCTATTTCCAGTTCAGGCCTGATCCTTTGCTCCCTTTTACGTTGCACTATACCAAATTGAAAATACATTCACTTATTATCAAGACCCCCTCAACTCCAAGTTGCAAACAATTCATAAACTTTTTATTTGGTTAGCACCTCAGCCTTAAAGATTAATGATTTTTCTCATTTGCTGGGGATTTTGGTCTGGGTGATTTTGTGCTTCATTTAAAATCTTTTGACAGTGGACACCATTATAATAAATATGCAGAAAGAAGGGCATTTACAACAAGTTGGCTTATTAACATTTTATTTGTCATGTTTTAATGTTTTAAATAAAAAGAATAACATGATGAATATAGAAAGCATAGAAGCAATTAGTATAGTTCTTTTTCCATATACCGAGGAGCACAGAAAAAGCTTAACCTTGCATGTAATGCAGCATTTGTCCAAGAAAGGAATACACATTAAAATAAACTGTTTCCTTGTTGAGCGTCGAGCCTGGGCCATTTTAGAAATGGCAAAACTCTAATCATAAAACAATGTGAATCTGTGTTTCATATTCAAAATGGTGGTGTTGGCATTTATCGTAATCTGATTCAATGCTATTTCCCAGGGAGAGACTGCAAATAAACTGGATAATGGCCAGTGTTTAGCACACACCGATTTGCCACTGAGCATCATTGAAACCTCAATAAGATGTGCGTTGAATCGATCATAAAATCATAATGAGAGATTGAATGTTGTCTAACATTCACACATATAAGTTTACTCTTGGAACGCAGAAATAGCAAAACTCAAATAAAACAATGTGAACCTGTGTGTTTCATACACAAAATGGTGCTGTTGCCATTTATCACAATCGGATTCAATGCTATTTCCCAGGGAGAAAGAGATTGCAAATAAACTGGATAATGGCCATTGTTTAGCACACCCTGATTTGCCACTGAGCATCACTGAAATCTGAATAAGACTTGCACTGAATCGATCATAAAATCACATGAGATAAAGCTGTTTCTAACATTCACACATCTAAGTTTACTCTTGGAACGCAGAAAACTCTAATCATAAAACAATGTGAACCTGTGTGTTTCATACACAAAATGGTGCCGTTGCCATTTATCGTAATCTGATTCAATGCTATTTCCCCCACCGATTTGCCACTAAGCATCATTGAAATCTGAGTAAGACGTGCACTGAATCGATCATAAAATCATATGAGAGATTGAATGTTGTCTAACGTTCACCAATATAAGTTTACTCTTGGAATGCAGAAATGGCAAAACTCAAATCATAAAACAATGTGAACCTGTGTGTTTCATATACAAAATGGTGCCTTGCCATTTATCACAATTGGATTCAATGCTATTTCTCAGGGAGAAAAGGACTGCAAATAAACTGGATAATGGCCAGTGTTTAGCAAACCCCCAATTTGCCACTAAGCATCATTGAAATCTGAATAAGATTTCATAGGACTTGCACTGAATCACAAGAGATAAAGCTGCTGTCTAAAATTCACACATATAAGTTTATTTTTCGAACGTCCTTTTTTTTTTAAAGAGGCTCCTTTCAATTACATTACTAAACTTCTGTTTTCTCAAACTATACAAATACATGTATTTTGGTTTGTGTTAGTGTCTTGCATTCCATGATTAGCTGAAATAATACATTGAAATGGACCAAACCACAGCTTCAATTCACCATTTAACACAGTGAATAACTTTAGCTTTGGGGCAAATGACTGACACAAAAACTGACACAAACGTGCACAAGCAGTAACATAGTATGTTTTTAAATTCTTATTTTATCCGATTTTGAAACCATCCATCCTCCCTCACTTCCCCAAATTCTTGGATGGGAATGACATATGTAAAATGCAAAATTGTTTTTGCTCTTACCTCGTCTGCATTGTATCTTGTGCTCAAATTGGTAGAATGACTGCACCATGGGAAGCCTCACAATACAAATAAACAGAGGGAGGAGTTTATTGATTACCTGGTAGCAGCCACCATTGTTACTTTTTTGTCTTATCCTGCATGGATGTTGCACATTCATCAATTTAACATCAAGAAAACTAAAGGCCTTCATCAATGTCCCCAGAGCCTTCTACTTTTATGAGTTCACTAGTAGGACATATCTGTGAATCACTGTGACTTTAAAAAAAAAAAAAAATTAATGGCCATGCATCACCAAGGGACAGATTATGTAGACGGAAAACTGAGATTTCTTACATAATTCAGAAAAGACTTGGAACTCTGTATCAACATATATGTTATATGCAGGTTTTGGCGAGTTCGGGTCTTTTCCCGTGTAAGATTGAGAGTATCTTGGCGACGTTTCAACGAGGTACCACTTGCCATCTTCAGGCTGGTGCTTTCGGCTTCATGCTTGTGCTAGCAAAGCGTGATAAGAGCTGCCGTCTCTCTATAAATACTAGTGGGGAGGTGTGGTGTGCTGGTTCTGTTGTAAGCGGGCTGGTTGGCTGTGTTGTTATTTCTTGATTGGTTGATGGAGTTGATGTTTGCAGATTGGTTGGCTTTTTCATAAGAACCTGTGTGGCTGAGGTACTGGCTGTGTGTCTATCAGCCTCCTGTGTTGTAACGACCTGGGTAATGGGCTGTGATGACCTTCTGAGTTCTATTGTTGTGACATCCTGGGTCTTGTGCTGTAATCTCCTGGGTCATTGGCTGTGTTGCAACATCCTGAGGTTTTGTGGTGTAACCTCCTGAGTTCCTTGATGTGATATCCTGAGCAGATGGCTGTGATGTAACATTCCGGGTTTTGGTTTGCCTCCGAGTTTGAGGTCTGGGTTCATGGCATGTGTGAGTTTGCTTAGTTTGGGGGTCAGGGTGTGTGGCAGTTGGTGATGCAGCCGTGGTCTGGTTTCTGGATGGTGGTTGCCTTTCGTCTATGGGATGGGTTTGGGTTTGAGTCTGGTGAGGGAGATTGGTGGTGGCGTCGTGTGTTGTTTTGGGTCTGGTGTTGGTTTTCATGGCTGGGACTCGTTTGTTGATAAGGGCTAGTTTCCAGATGTCTGGTAGGCGGGAGGTATCATCCCGTTTATTCATGTTATGGGGGTGTTTCTCTATTTCAATGGCTTCCCTGATTATTCTCTTGTTGAAGTGTTCAGTACTAGAGATTAATTTGGTTCCCTCAAAATTAATTTCATGTCCTGTGGCTTTAAGGTGCTGGAAAAGGGAGGAAGCACCTTCTTCTTTTCTGACTGCGTTCTTGTGTTCTGCGATGCGTGCATTTATTCTCCTGTTGGTTTGTCCAATGTATGTGGCGTTACATTATGGGAAGCAGAATCATTCGTACCAAAGTTGTACCAGCAGCATCACTTGTGGGACAGTGTTAGCTGTATCTCAGGATGTCAGGAAGAAGTGGCTTCCTGGTTTCCCTTTGAAAAAAACACACACACACACAAAAGCTTCCCTAACTTATTCTACTTTACTTTACTTTACTGAATCAAATAAAATCTTCACACTTAAACTCAAATTCTACCATGGCATGGGACTGAGATAGTTTACGGTCCACCTCTCCCTAGTTACATCTACCTGTCCCATTGGATTAGAATCTCAAAATTCACATTTGCAAATTTTATTCCAGGAGGAATAAAAGACTGGTTATTTGTTTGGATAAACAGAAATGGTACCTATAACCATTTTTGAGTACATGGGGGGGGGGAAAACCCTGACATTATTAAGCATGTCATGTCAGCATATAAATCCTGTAAGGAAAATATTGTGTCTGTGGTAAATGAGAAAACCTGAGTCCGATTACTCTGAATACACTTAATACAATTGGCATTATTTCAAGTACTTGCTTCTACCATGTACAGCTAGAAGTGGTTTTTATTGAAAACAAAAACAAAAAACAGATGTTTATTGGTAAGATCTTGTATTCAAGGACTGAGCATTGCATGTTACTTTTTTTTTTTAAGGGCAAAAGCCAGCTGACAAACACTACAAGCAATCCTAAGCCCTGTTTGATATATGCTGCAAAGAACAACAGCAGCCACAAAAAGATGAACAATAAGGCAACCACTGCATACAGCTGAATGGCAGGATGTCACGGGGAGGAAGGGAAAAAGCTACAAGCCCACTTGTGAGCTTGTCAATACTGAACAGATCGTTAAAAGTCATTTACCTACTCAAATGCTACTGGAAAATAAATAAAATCAACAAAGTTCTTCATCCACATTTAAGCCTCCAAAGGTCAAAAAAGCTTTCCAAGAGAACAGAGCCATCAATTGTAGGCATCAGGAGGGTTTGTTTTTAGCAACTGTGAACTATTAAGAGCCTTTTCTATGCGTTCTGCTTAGCAGAATTAAAAATGTGGAGCACAGCATCAAGAACGTCCAACAAAAGTGCACCAGGGAGTCCAAGAAGCAGCTAGGTGTCATAATCATGACAGTGATAATTCTTCTTTAGCACCAATTCAAAGTTCAAAGTCAGTATATATTCTAGTTCAGTTTTAGCTACAACTTTGATTGCTACTATCTGGCCTGCTTTATACATAATTCAAGCAGAACTGTGGGCGCTCATCAGATGTAGCTGTTAAAAGTTGGAAAAAACAACACTAATTACAAAGTTCTTGGTCAAACCATTAAGCACAACATTGAGACTAATAAAATATAATCCCTGGAGCTACCTTGGAATTCGGTATTTAGTTTGTTGATTTTTGGTGCAAAAAAAAAAAAAAGGCAAACGAGGAAAAGTTCCATTTTAAAGCCAACTGATTAGTTTCTTTTAAAAAATGATATCAGATGAGGATTTGTAACAGATGCTCCTCTTTTCTATATTAAGGAAAAACAGAAGGGATTTCCTTAAACATTTACAGTTATGCACTAATCTGGCAAAATGTTTTCATTTGTAAAGAAGCTTGAAAACAGACATACAATCCAATGCCGAATTTCATTTCCTGATTATGTTTAAGTTGGTTGATGGAGCCTCTCTACAGTCCTTATTCTGTGGGAGGGTGACACCTCTTAGAAATATTCAGAATTCATACATATATTTCTATACAAAATGGATACACAAAGAACAAAGGTTAATTGCTATTAATAATAGTCTTATAAAGATGTCATTAGCCAACAGTTGATCGTGTTCACCTTTGTGCAAAAACTAGGCATAATCGGCGAGGAACAGAAAATCACTTCTGTAGTTCTCTTCCTTGTAACCCTGCCCAGAAAGGATAAGATGCTTCTTGCTTTTCATTCTCTTCCCCTACTGCCATTTTGCTTTTTAAAAAAAGTTCTCTGAACTTCTTTGGAAATAGTTTGGTTGTCTTGCTTAGGACATTGGTAGAAACAAACCGTTTAATCGACGTTGATCGTCCATTGTTTGGAAATTACCCAGGCATTTCATTTTAGCTTGCTTCTTCGGCCAGTCCCTTTCGCTGACGTGTAGGTTTCTGCCTACTTCTCTGTGGAGTGAGCAGCAGCGCATCTGGTTCAGCTTCTGGTTTTGCATTTTCGCTGTCCTCTTGTTGGGATCCTGCGTCTCCAATCAGCTCTCGTAGGAACTTAAACTTGGATAAGAAGAGCTGCCAGACCACGCACCAACCTACAGAGTTGCCAGGAAAAACAAAGGGAACATTAAGGGTTGCACCCCACAGCCATTCAAAATATACAGCACAATATGATGCCAGCACTCTTATACAAATAGGACTGTCCAAACAAGTTCAAAAACGTCAATCCTTAGTAAAGTTACAAAAAACCATTAAGTTGGAAACGCAAAACTAAACATCTACTGTGGATTAGAAACCTTGCCTGTGCACTGATCACTTTCTATCTACTTTCTCTCTTTTCTAAGAGCCATGGTGGCACAGTGGTTAAATTGTAGTATTGCAGGCTAATTCTGCTGACTGCCAGCAGTTCGGCAGTTCAAATCTCACCGGCTCAGCCTTTCCATCCTTCCAAGGGGTAAAGTGAGGACCCAGATTGTTGGGGGCAACATGCTAACTCTGCTTAGAGAGAGTTGTAAAGCACTGTGATGTGGGATATAAATCAAAGTGCTATTGCTATCCCTGGTCTAAACTTCCTTTCTGTATCAGCTAGCTAATAATGTATTTACATGTCACTGATCTATTACATTCATGGACAGGTAAACCAAGTCAATAAATAAATAAGTAACTACCAATACAAATCTTATCTTTTATCTACCAGATGTTAGCAACAAGGTATAATTAACATTTTTTTCCATTAATCATATAAGTATTTTATCAAAAATGGTCAAACAAGGATCAGGAGGCAGGAGGGACAATGAAGGATCCCACTATAACAGAGGTGTCAAATGCACGGCGTCACATGACATATCAGGACTTTTTCCCCCTTTGCTAAACCGGGCATGAGTGTGATCAGTGTGTGACTCATCCGGCCCATGGGCCAGGAGTTTGACAGCCCTGCATTTATCTTAAATTATCAGAGCAGCGAACCTCTCTGAGAGCAAAAAATTCATTAAAGATGGTCACACTAGTGGAGTTGCCACTTATGGCAGTGTCATTAATCACATGTCACCCAAGATCCGGACTCAACCTTTCCCAGTTCCACGCATGTAAACATCGTAACATTTGAGTGAGCCTGCAATGATTAGGAGACCAATGTCCATGCAGTCCCTGCGGCTCAAGCCCAAAGTCCGTAGCCCAGTGCCGGATGGTTCGTAAAGCAGTCCCCGGTTAGAAACGATGACAGGGAGGTGGTGCACTGAGATGGAAGGAGGAACAGCGGCCCAACAGTGAATATCGGTGATGCGGTCAGGCTGTCCGTATTTGGAGACCTTGATGTTCCAGGGCTCCCGCATTCGGTAACCGGACTCTATGGAGACATCCACGACCCAGAGCTGGTTCATCACCTCCACAAGTAAATCCGGTTTAATGAATGAAGTGCCAGATGTTATGATGGACTCGACACTCGGACAGAGGCCTTGCCATCGCAGGAATTGATCCATGGCACAACCGTGTTGTGCACATCGGGCATCATGCGTCACCTCACAAACTTGCAGGACGTGGTTGATCGTCTCCAGAGCCCGGCAGGCTCCCCTACAAGTCTTGTCAGTGGTCTGGCGATTGGCACCCCACGCACTCTTTGATCTCGTAGAGAGCACTCCGCCCCTCAACTGGACCCCCCTTAGATACAGGCAGGGGAACACTTGGGAGGGGCGTAATAGCCAATTGTGGCTAGCTGCGTCGATCCTGGGGACCCCCAGCTCCCGACCTTCGAAGGATGTCAGGAGTGCAGTCTTCCACTCCTCCTGTGCCTCAGCCTTCGTTGCTACAGCAGCAGCGTTAACTCTGCACGGCTGGTTCATCCGGCACCACAGAAGACCAAATGCATCCTGGTGCTGAACGATCTGAAACAGCGTGGTGGGATGGAATGCTATCTTCTCGAGTTGCGATGCCTGGAGCAACGGGATAGAAGTAGAAAAACAAGGCAGCCCCAGGCCTTCATCTTTGACATGTGCATGGAAGTAGCCCAAGGGGGTATCTTTGGGCAATCGCAGCCAGCGCCTCACTGCTGCACAGATCAGACAGTCCAGTTTTCTCAGAGTGTTCCTGTGCGTGACCAAGTATGAGTTCATGGATGAATTTGGGCACCAAGAATGTTTGTAGTAACATTCAACAGCATCCGCTGTTGCAGCTTTAGCGGTGCCCGCAAGAGCTCCTGGAGCAGAGTGTCCAATTTGCCGGTGTGCTTGGGGATCAACGCAGCCCTTCCAGTTAAACTGAAGGCCGAGATAGTGAACTGAATCCCCTGGCCCAAGAGGGTTGATGCTGCCACCCTCGCACTCGTAGGTGGTTGGTAACAGGGCCACGCACTTTCTATTTCCATCCCTGGCAATGGTGAGGCCCAGGGACTTCTTGGCATTTAACGCCATTCCGGCTTGAGTAAGGGCTTCGGATAAAAGATGTAGTTTTTCTTGAAGCCAAGGGAACTTCTCCACAAACAGAACCAGGTCATCAGCATAAACGATACTGCTGATCCAATGGCCATCGAGGTCATACCCAACGCTGGGCAGAGAAGCTGTGATGATGTCCATGACGACCATGATGAAAAAAAGTGGAGACAGAGGATTGCCTTGCCAGATGCCCCGACCACAAGTTGCAAAGGTTCCTGCAAGTTGGACCGTGGACCACTCGTAAAGGTGCCGAAGGTATGACACCAAGTGAGGTGGTAGACCAGTAGCTACAGTGACACAAAACAACGTGTGATGGGATACGGTGTCAAATGCCTTGGCAATGTCCAGAAACAGCATCGCACAAGGTTCACGCTTTGTATGGACCCTTCAAAGAATGGTGTGGAGAAGGGTCATCGCCTCAAGGCAGCCGTCCTGCTGGAAAAACCCATGCTGGAAGGGCAAAAATTGAAGGGTATCACAGAGACGACATGCCAGGATCTTATGAAAGGCACGGAGAATGGTAGAGGCAATCGAGATAGGGCGATGGATCGTCCGTCTTAGGAAGGAAGGTCACCCTCGAACAGGCTAGATATTCTGGCGGGCCGCCGGCAGCTAGTAACAAGTTGTAATAAGCTGCTAGAGATGGTTGGTGCCAGGTCAAGAGATCGGCAGCAGGAATGCGATCCAAGCCCGGAGCGCTAGATGTCATGCTCTTAAGCGCTGCAGTGACCTCAGACGGAGTAACTCTGTACATGAGCTACCAATAAACAGACGTTGGTGTGGCTGCTGTCCTATTGTCGATCGCGCACTATAAGGAGGCCTTCTAAAATGACTGAAAATGTTCCTGTTATGAATCAAGTGAGATCATTTCCAAAAAGCTAATTGCTGAAGAGACAAGCCTGTAGGTCCTCCTGGAAATTGCACCTGGGTTATAACCTCATAACAATAACGTCATCCAGTCAACCCGTTTCATGCTCCTGGGTTTTTTGAATGCTATTTTGGTGGAAAGAATGTGTGCCATCTTATGCTCCTTAGTAAAAACACAGAACTTAATACTAATACTAATAGAGTTATTATCATCAGTCCCTTTCTTCTTTGCCACTCTCAACTTGCTTTCAGTTCAGTCTTGACAGATGAAGAGACCTGAAATCTCAAAAAAAAACAAAACCTTGCATATTTTTTGAACATCAATGGATTTGAGAATCCATAAAAGAGAGATTTTTATAATGAGGGATGGATAAAGGAGGAATTCCACAAGGGGTAAACTGTATTCATCTGAATGTAAACATTGTGGCTCTAAATGAAAAACAACTAAAATTATGGGGAAGGGATAGCCTGTATAAGAGCCTGCAAATCCAAAGGGATAGTATTGTTCTCCTATTCGTAAGTGACTTATTGAAAAGTCTGTGTGGGTATCCAGCATATACCTCCTAACATGTGGGTTATGGGCAATAGTATGTTGGCATGCAAAGCAATTTGTAGAGTAGTTATTCTAACCTGCATAGAATGGGCATTGGTTCTTACCTGACACGCCCTTTCTCTGTGAGCTGTGAAGAGCATCCATGACTGAGAGGTGCTTCTGTCTCTCGTGCGATAGGCTGGGCTTAATTCTGAGGACACTCCTCCTCCTCCACGGGACTCCTCCTTAGCATCCCCAATTTTGGCGAAGTCGAAGTGATGAGATCATCTTCTTTCTTCTTCACCAATGTTTGAATGCTTGGCCAGAATAGGACCCCACCAGACAGAATCTGGGTGGGGCTGAATGCTCTTCACAGTTCAAAGAGAAAGGGTGTACCAGATAAGTACCAACACCCATTCTCCAGATTAATTGTTCAGAGCATCCATGACTGGGACATACCAAAGCTTGGCATGTCCTACAGGAGGGTCTCCATCTGGTGTGGAGTCCCCTCTTGGTCCCTATGGACCCTTTATAAAACTCTCCTACTGAAGGTGGCCTCTGCAGATGCAAAGACATCTATCTTATAGTGCCTGATGAAAGGCGACGGCGAGGCCCAAGTTGCCACTCTACAAATTTCTTCTATCGGTGCTTGTGTGGCCCACGCGGCCAATGTTGCAGCGCTCCTGGTTGAATGCACTGTGATGCCTCTGGGCACTGGCAATGACTGAGTCTCATAAGTCTTAGTAATCGCGGCTCTCAGCCACCTGCCCACAGTTAATGATGTGACCTTGCGTCCTTGAGTGGTTGGTTGAAAGGAGACAAAGAGTGCCTCCGTCTTCCTAAAAACTATGTACATATGGAGAGCGCATCTCACATCTAGTCGATGCCATTGACGCTCAAGACCATGAGCTGGTCTCGGGCAGAAACTCGGAAGTATATGCTCCTGTGTTCTGTGAAATGCCGAATTTATTCTTGGGGTGAAGGTTGGATCTGGACAAAGAACCACTCTGTCAGAATGGAAAACACAGAGGTCTTGTCTGACTGATAAGGTGGCCAGTTCCGAAATTCATCTTGCCGATGTTATTGCTACTAAGAAAACCACCTTGTATGTAAGTAGAGACTCGTGGTTTTCAGGGGCTCAAAGGGGCGTTTCATGAGCATTGTGAGTACCTTGTTTAAGTCCCAGGTGGGATAACAGTGCACCACTGGGGGTCTTAGATTTGTGGCCCCATGAATAAAGCTGCGTATTCTTGGGTGATGGGCAATGGAC